GAGGTGATCGCATTTGTTGACTCTTTGTATTAACTGGTAATTCCAGTACTCCGCAAAGTAGGTACGCGAGTACTCTAAACATCTATGTTCTTAGCAGTATCAATCATGTGGTTCGTAAATATGCCGATTTTCTGCATTTCACGGAAGTTTACAGGCACATTTACACAAAATTGGGTGCGTTGGACAGCAGCAGGTATAGATCGTGTGGGGAGGATATAGAGATTATACAACATTTCCTATACCTTTGTCCAGCTTTTACAAGCCATCGAACCGAATTCGATCTAAGGGAGTGTTACAGGAATGTGACTGAAGGACTTGACTAAGAACATAGGATTCTTAGAAGCATGGGGAGACAAAATCTCATTATGTGCTCTTCTAACTTTCTTGCCTTTGTAGATTACAGGCATTTTTCACTGGCTTAAGTGTATACCCTACAATGCTACCAATTACCAAGTGACTTACTATGAACATTCCGACAAAAAAATCCATATGAACTGTAGTAATGGATTGGTACACATTTGGGTGGGCAAATGTGGGAGTAATATCACCAATATTGTTATCACCAAGTTGTTGAAGCAGGTGCTGTTTCGTGATATGTTTTGTATTTTGAAAAACAATTCACATGATCCATCATGACGCCGCCACACATGATCGCATGTCCGACACGGTTCCAGGAAACAATTTGCCGACGACGAGGAAGTCTGTATGGGGAAATGATTTGGAGATAATGAGAAATGTATTTCCATTTCCATTGAAGAAGTTTGCACAAAGACATTTGAAAACTTTACTTTTATTAAATAAATTTATTTGTTTAATTTTTAATATAATCGATATATAACGAACTAATTTGGTTGTTCACTAGAATTTCGCTATAACCGTACATATTGGGTATGTGAGCACTCAAAGTCCTTTGATTGGTCAAATACCCAATAATCCTGATGGTCCGGTTAGGCTCCCCATCAATTTATTATAATATCACATTTTCCAACCCTGGTGGCACTTCACACACACACTCAATACCGGTATCCCCCCGTCCAAAACAAAGAATCCGAACACACGTAGCTAAACAAAAAATTCAAAGCGAATTGCCAATCAAGCAAGCTTACAACGCATTTCAGCTCTTTCAAAGCTCTTAAATGCCACACAATTTCTCTTTCACAATCGTCGTTCTCTCCATCGCTCGCTCAATTATGCCGCAAAAATAAATAAGCCAACGCCGCCACCAAACGAATCATATGTTTTATTTGCTGCTGCTATCTCGGTGTGTGTGTGTGGGGTTGTGTGTTGCATTGTATTTTAGCTTAGTTTGTAATCGTTCGTCCGTTTAACTGCAAATCAAAGTCGAGGTCGTTGTACGACCGAAAGAATGTTGGAATGGTGCTGATGATGTTAAAGTTTTTGCTGTTGTTGTTATTGCTATGCTTTGTTGTAAGTTCGTGTGCGCGTTTTGTTTGCTAGTCTTTTTTTTTTGCGGCACGAAGATTTTTTGCTTTACCGTTGCTTGTTTGCTCGCAAGCAGGCTGGCCTCTTGTCTGCTGATGATTGTTCGTTCAGTTAGTTTCTATCTTCTTAATGCTATGTTTGCTGTCGGTTGATTTCGTGGTTGTCAGAGGTTGCTGGCTTGCTTGTTGGAGCTTGGTGGCGTAACAGCGCTGTCCATGGAGCTGCCGCTTTACTTTCTCAGCTGGCATTGGGGCCACAGTGTTTAGATTTAAATGTATTTTGAGATGTTGGAATTGGCTACCGATGTTGTCTCAAAATCATTGCAATCATCTCAGGCTATATGTGTTCCATCGGAGATATAACAAAATCGTCGACTGTATATAATGGAGATCAGAGGAAACCACAAAACAATGTCATACCTTTGCGAATGCTCAGCATGTTACAGAATTTATTTTTTTTATGACAGTTTCTCGTGTGATTTTTTTTACCATCCTCTTTGAAAGGTCATACGAAAGGCAAAGGTGAATAGAAATGACACTGTGGAAAGAAGATACCAGAAAATTTGCGGCTTCAGACCTGACAAATCCACCATAGACCAGATTTCCACTCTGCACTAAATCCAGGAAAAGACCCACGAAAAACGCATCGACACATTTCACCTATTCGTAGATTAAAAAGCCGCATTCGGCAGCCATATCCGCATTCCTGCAAAATTAATACGGCTATGCAGGATAACTTTTGCTCGCACAAGGTCAGCAGTTAAACTCGTAAAGGACTTCTCGGAGCCCTTTAATACCGAACGAGAAATCAGGCGAGGTGACAGTTTGTCGTATGATCTTTTAAACTTCCTCCTTGAAAAGGTCATACGAGAGACAAAGGTGAATAGAAATGACACTGTGGACAGAAGATACCAGAATATTTGCGGCTTCAGACGTGGCAAATCCACCATAGACCAGATTTTCACTCTGCACTAAATCCAGATATTTTTACGATCCTCCTTGAAAAGCTCATACGAGAGGCAAATGTGAATAGAAATGACACTGTGTACACCAAACAACACATGTTACTCGTCTACGCCGATGACATCGTCATAATGGGTCGATCATTGCGAGCGATAATAGCCACATTTGAATAAATTGAGAAGAAGTCTACCAAAGTGGACGGCGAGAAGACGAAACTGATGGTATCAACGCGCAAGACGTCCAGTAGACTGGGACCAACTGTGGAACTTGAGAACTACAGCTTCGAGGTAGTTAAACATTTTATATACCTTGGTACCGCCATAAATAAAACGAATGACATCAGTTTTGAAATCCGGAGAAGTATAGTGTTGGCCAACAGATGCTACTATGATCTAAGTAAGCAATTTAGAAACACCTCTCGCCAGACCAAACCCTCTTCAAGACTACCCGTGCTGATGTATGGATCAGAAGCATAAGTACTTCCCAAGCAGATGTGACAGCCCTTGGAGCGTTTGAGAGAGAAATTCTGAGAAAGATTCACGGACCGATCTGCGAATATCAGCGGTGAATATCAGCATCGAATGAACCACGAGCTTTACAATTTATACGCGGACACCGACATAGTCTGTCGTATTGAGCTGCAGTGACTGCGGTGGCTAGGCCATGTTGTTCGAATGAATGAAGATGCCCCAGCTCAAGAGGCATATAAAAGCAAGCTCACGGGAACACCACGAATTCGATGGAAAGATCAAGAGGATGATAACCTATCAAAGCATGGTCTTTCAGATTGAAAAAACTGCGCACTAGATCGACGTGCCTGAAAATCTCTTTTATGTTCGACTTATGGAACAATTGTTCTGTCTCGAGCTGCTGTTTGTTCTTTAAAACTGGATTTCATTTTTAGTGTGGAAATGATTTCGAAAGAGGTTAAATAAAACGACAGAAATGTATGAAAAGTTTTATACTTCGCAAAAAAAAGACAGCCTTATCTCCGCAAAACTTCTAAAAAAATTCCCCGTAAAAAGTTTATATGCCCTTGGAAGACGGTTATTTCGTTTTGTATTAGAGATTCTCAACACATTCAATCAAACTACACACTAATCTAATATGAACGTCGAATTCTTCTTAATGTCTTCATCTTTTTTCCAAAAAAAAAAAATCTTCAAAACTTTAAAAATTCTTACACGAAATTAGCGGCATATAATTACAACAAATCAGCTGCTGTTTACTTAAGACAACAATGACAACAACAACCAACAAAGACGAAAAATACCATAAGCATGTTGGCGGTATAATCTCATTTCAATCGAGATTACCCGGATATGTCGTTGCTCTTGTCCTCATTTTTAACTAGCCATGACCGAAACCAAGACGAATGTGCAAAAAAAAAAAACTCGCTAAAAGAATCATCACCACACTAAAACATATTCCAAAACTATTCTATTTATCCGTCCGTCTGGTTTGTCTGTCTGTCTGCCTGTTTGGTTTGGTCTGTTATGTCTAACAGCCGTTAGACCGTTATATGCGGCACATAGTTAACAATTTATATTACTGTTGCAACGGCTAATACAAGATTTACGTCTTTCGTTTCGTTTCTTTGGTATAGATTTATATTTTTTGTTCTCCGCGTGTGTGTGTGTGTGAGCGTGTCTTGGTTTTCTTTGAGTGCCAGCCTGGTAACAGCAGCTTACAGCTTGGTAGGATGGTTAGTTAGATGGCTGGCTGTTATGTGTTCTTTTTTTCTTCTTACCACTAAAACTCTTACTCTCCTATTCCATTCCCTGCCAACTTCAAATGACAATGAATGACAACATTCCACAGACAACTTAATGTCGCGAATTGTAAGGAAAACGGGTCTTCTTTTCTTAATGTCATTGAAACGAGTTTTTCCCCGCCGTCGTCTTCTTCTTCACTTTTCTTGTGGAAATAACACACAAAGTTGCAACATATATTTCTTTTTATTGGTCATACATTAATACCGACACAGACAGACACACACACCGACACATGTGTGTGTGTGTGCCTATTAAGAGGGTTTTAGTAGAAGTGGCAACAAGGTTGCTGCCATTGAAATGTGGGTAGCAGCAGCAAGAGTAATTAAAGCCATTGCAAATCTATTTATATGTAAAAGGATAAGAAGTGACAATGGAGGACTGTTAATCTTTTGTGCATTTTTTATGGAGAATAAATTGAAAGCTGTTGAAGTATGAGATTTCTATTTTACAATAGAAGTCGGATTTGACTAGATATACCAGAAAGTGTGAGACTATATAAAATCTTCAATCTTTATGGCAGAAACAAGAAGGAGTATTTCGGGGGAACCATCTTCAGATTTGACATAGATTTGGTAAAATTATTAAAAAAACAAAAGTTTGACTCCTTCGATTTCAAATTGTCCGCGAGAGAATTACTCCAAAGAAACTTGAGGTCTAAACCATTCGGCACATTTCTTGATCATATAAAAGAGTATATACCCTCATTATCCTTAAAGATGAAGATAAAATTAGTTAATCCCATCGGCATTAAAGGAAGAAGACGTCAATTTTATTAACCCAATACTTTTCTCCAACAATTATCCCAAAACACTCTAGGTCGATTTACAGGGTTGCCCATATTCGACGGACCCATGTTCTTTTTTTTTAATAAAAAATTTGGCGATTGGTTCCTGTTAATTAATTGGCATTTAATATCTTCCAAGTAGATTTGCTTACATCAATTTTTGAATATGATATCTCTCAAATGGCCGCCTCTGGCGTTGATGACGTATTGTGCCCTTTTTGCTGCATTTTCCACCGTTTTTGCCAACATTTCGGCCGGAATAGCGGCTATTTCTTCACGAATGTTGTCCTTGGGCTCTTCTACGGTCCTTGGCTTGTTAACGTAAACCTTTGACTTCAAATATCCCCACAAGAAGAAGTCAGGCGGCTTCAAATCGGGCGAACGCGGTGGCCAGTCCAAATCACCACTTTTCGACATCAAACGGCCCGAAAACAAATTCTTCAGAAAATCGATTGTTATGCGACATGTGTGAGGTGGAGCGCCGTCTTGTTGAAACCAGAACTGCCTCATACGCTTTCGACGAATAATTGGCATCACAAAATCGGTCATCATATCGCGATAATGCTCCTGATAGATGGTAACAGCATGGCCATTTTCATTTTGGAAGAAAAACGGTCCAAACTGTGACTTGTTCGTCATGAAGAGGCACTTCTTGAATGTCCTGAGGATTTTTAGTGGCGTGAAACAGCAATTTTGCTTATTTACGGTCCCATTCAATGTTAAATTGGCTTCATCGAATATGATAATTTTGTTCCAAAATTGGTCGTCATCTTCGGCCATTTTGATGACTCTTTGGGGCCATTCCAATCGACGAGGCTTGTCCGCAGGCAACATTCTTTGCGTCAATTGAATTTTGAACGGGAAAAGATGCAAATCAATGCGAATAATCCGTTGTAAAGTGGACCGAGCCATGCCCAAATGCTGAGAACGGCGTTTTTGCGATGTTCTTGGGGACCTCTCAACACTGGCTCGTACGGCAGCGATATGTTCTTGGGGACCTCTCAACACTGGCTCGTACGGCAGCGATATTCTCGGCCGATCGCCTTGGTCGACTTTTATATGGCCTGTTCGGATTAGAAAGAGCCTTACCAGTCGAAAAATTTTCGTATAAACGCTTAATGGTGTTCTTAGAAGGCGCACTTCTCACATTTTATAATGTTTTAAAAGCACGTTGAGTTTTCACAATTGACTCCTTCTGATGAATGTAAATTTCAACTATATCAGAGCGCTCGCGTGTCGTGTATTGGTTCATGGTAAAAATCTGCTTGGACTGACGCTTCAAACGCGGCATGTCATTAAGCGATGTGACATCTCTGTCAAAAGTTATGACGTTGCCAGACGGGTCCGTCAAATATGGGCAACCCTGTATTCATTGAAATCGAGGTACATTCTGAAATCGAGGTACATCATACAAAACAAACAAACACTGTGGTACTTGTTTGTGCATATGTTTGGGGCTAACTCTAGTTTAGTAAAAAAGATCAGATTTTTCTGAAACCTTTTCCAGAGGTAGGTATTTTTTTACCCTAATGATGGGGATATAATTTTTTCTTTGGGAGCGTACTGGGTCCGTAGAACCTGGTATAACGGTGTACGTCCCCGAGAAAAAATATATCCCCATAATACAAAAAATAGGGTAAAAATACTTATATCTGGAAAAATTTTCAGAAAATCAGATCGTTTTTAATAAACTAGAGTTGTTCCTATGTTTGTGACAGGCAAAAGCATATTGCATAGTCCCATGGTTCCTTTTGAGAATATGCACAGAATCACTTTCTGAGTCGATTTATGCGTATCCGTCCCTCTGTTGATGTAAAATTGTAAACAAAGTACAGTTCGCATTTATGATCCAAATGATATGAAATTTGGTTCAGCTCACTTATTTAGCCCAAGGACGAACCCTATTGAGAGGGGAGAAAATCGGTTCAGATTAAGATATAGCTCCCATATAAATTTTCGTCTGATTTTAGGTAAATGGTGCACCAAGCTCACAAAATTTGTCCGATTAAAACAAAATTGTGGACAGCAGTTTAGGTCCAGATTAATGTATGTATTGTGGAAATCGGTTTAAATTTACATAACGCTTCTATATGCATTATCGTCCGATTTTATGTACTACCCTACCATACTGAATTGAGTATGGAATGATGTGTTAAGTTTTGTTGAAATCGGTTCAGATTTAGATATAGCTCATCCGATTTCATGTAAATGGATCATCAACTTCCAGGATTTATCTGATTAAGTCAAAATTTTGCACAGCATACAGAATTCAGTATAGACTGATGTGTGGTTAGTTTTCTTGAAATCGGTTCTGATTTACATATAACCCAATATATTTGTCCAATTTTAGATAAACTCTCAAAGTTTGCCCGATTGTGACAAAATTTTGCATAGCGTACTGACTTAAATGAAGATTGACATGTGCTAAGTTTCGTTAGAATCGGTTCAGATTTAGATACAGTTCCCCATATATATTTGTTCCAATTTAGCTGTTTAGAATATTTTCATATATCATAATAGATCAAATATTTAATTTTGTCCGATTTCAAGTCGATCAGTAGATATATCCATTGCATTTAGAATGTTTGGAACATCTCTTGAATATACCCAAAGTCGTGAAGGGTATCATATAGTCGACCCCGTCTGACTTTTGAGCTTTCCTTAGTGGTTTACTTGTGGGCTATTTATTATACAAATTGAGATTTACTGGTCCACACTTTAGAATAAATTCTATATAACGACACAACCCAACATTCGGTATTTTGGGGACAGCCTCCTATCGAATTTACTGAAATTTTTATTTTGTATTCTCATCGGATAAAATATATCTCTATTTTAAATTATCATTATTACTCCAAATTTCGGAATAATAATAATAATTCCCATTTGACAACATCCGAAAAGCCTTCATATAACCATATCTCAGAAATTGTGCCTAAACCTAAAATGCTCTTTTATTGGGGATATTTTAAATTATGGACCCAACTTGTGTGTATGCCCAAAAATAGTGTTGGGTATCATATATTCGTCCCTGTCTAAATTTGACGTTTTCCTTTATGGTTTGCCTGTTTTACATCCAATATACATTACCGTTCTTTACTTATTACTTTTTTAAATATTATTTAATATTCGAATACCGATAAAGTAAATTTTTCTCATTCACAATATTTCATAGACCAATTAAAAATCCAACTTTCATATTAACCTTTTGCCTCCTTTAATTGTAACGAATTTTCCATACATCCCCCAATTGATATTGTTTTTCGCTCCCAAACTCATTACCCATTTAAATCATTGTCATGGTCTGTGTCATTAACAATTGTCAATGAAATCACAAAGCAGCACAGCCGGGCGTTTGCAGCATTTAAAACAATAACATCAGCAGCAGTAGCAGTAGCAGCAACAACAATATTATCACTAACGTAATTTCATTACAAAAAACAACAGCAGCAACAATATTATCACCAATGTGTAATTTCATTACATTATCTGCCTTATCATTAATAATATCAATCATACGTATTCACATATATTCACGCCATCGAAGAGCTGCACACGCACACACTCATACAACACCATACACATCAATGCTCAATCAATGTTTATTGTCGTCCAAACAAACAATCAAAATAAGCATTTTTATTATTAAAACAATAACAATGTCGTCGTCGACGTTCGTGTGTTCGTTTGCTCGTTGTCATTTCACTTAAGTTAAGTGTCACTTATAGTTAAACTATTTGCAATCGCGCTCGCCCTCTCCCTTTCGCTCACTTTGTTGGCAAATTGTATGCAGTTGGGGTCTGGTGTAGGATGAATATTATTGAAAATAAGATTATAGAGATGTGGCGTTACACATTAAGGTACTTGAGAGGATTTTTGGGGGAAAGTTTTCAAATATTGGATTGAGGGTATTTCAAATTTGTTGGTAATATCTAGAAAAATAATGTTTAAACTAGAGGTCTATATTTAAGGTATAACACTTACATAAAATCGAACGAACATGTTTATGGGAACCGTATTTAAATTGTAACACCATTGGTGTATTATTTACATTCCTGAACCTCAAGTGATACTGTTAGGTTGTAGAATTTTTGCATCCTCACAATAAAATCCCTTCTATGTGTGGTATGCATCCTAATGGAAAAATTCTCTCTACAATAATACCCTTTTCTTCGCTTTTTCCCTTACCTTGATTGTTTGCATATTGCAAAGGAGGGACATTGCGGATATCTACTGCCATAAACACTTGCAATAAAAGTGTATTGTGATATCAATTGATTTTGTTATTCGTCACAATGCAAAAGAAGGGAAATCTATTGTCTGGTATGAAAGGTATTTCTAGAGTTACGTTGAGTCATGTGCCTGAGCCAATAATACCAAATGATGCCAATAAAAAAATAAAATCAGTTGATATTTTTCCATTGAAGCGATTGGAATAGATAATACATTTTGAAAATGGGAACTAAGAAGGTAGCCAGATTTCCAGAACAAACGGCTGAAGCTTAAATTTTGAAATTTCGGGTGAGGGTCACTCTTAGTCCGTAGGTGTCAGACAAGGCTGACACGAAAAGTATTAAATATCTGCATTTAGTAAACTGGTTAAATTTGGAATGAAGGTCATTTGATGGAGATAGGTTATGTTTTTGAAAATTCGAATTAGAAGTATCCGAAAAATACTAATTTTGTTACAATTTCGAAGCATGTGAACGGATAAAGCGAACAACTTGAAATGCTAATCAAGATTGAGAAGTACGGTCGATATAAGGAAGTTGGTACTCATGTTTAGGAAAAGTATTAAATGGTACTAAATTTGGTACTATTTGAGTATTGAGGAATACTGGAATGTGGAAAAAAATTTACATGGCATTGTATATGATTGGGATATATAGGAAGTTTTGAAAATTCGTACTGGTACAATTTGGATTTGGTTGAACCTATAGGCCTGGAATCCTGAAATTGGAAAATAATCTATTGATTGTATGATATAGGTAGTTTTGGAAATTCGTACTCATGTATGTGTAGTAAAATGGTTCCTAATTTGGTACAATTTGAATTTGGGTTGAACCGATAGAGCAAGAATCCTAAAATTTGGAGTGAGGATGTATGTTGAGGTGGTGTATGATTGGAATGTAGGAATTTTTTGAAATTCGTACTAATGGAGATTTGGGTGACTCGATATGGCTGAAATCGTGAAATTGGAGTAAGGATGGCCATTGAAATGTATGATTGGAATATGAACGAAGTTTTGGAAATTCTTACTAATGGAAATTTGGGTGACTCGATATTACTGAAATCCTGAAATTGGGAAACAAGAGTTCTGCTGATTGTGTGATATAGGTATTTTTGAAAAGTCGTACTTATGTGTACTAAAATGGTACTAAATTTGAATTTTGGATGAACCAATAGAGCTGGAATCCTGAAATTTGGAATTAGGATCGCTGTTGGGGTGTAAGAATTGGGTATGTAGGATGTTTTGAAAATTTGTACTAGTGGTACTAAATTTGAATTTGTGTGATCTGGAATCCAGAAAATTTTAAATATGATTTCTATTGGATTTTTGGGGTAGGTATATTTATATTAATGTGTATTGAATTTGGAAAAATTTGGAATTGGGTGAACCTACAGAACTCGAATCATGAATTGTCGTAATAGTTTCGGAAATAATTTTGTATTTTTTTTCGGATCTATATTTGTACTGCGGTCAGAATTGGCGTGTAGTGTTGAGATATGATGTAGTTTTGGAAATACCAACTATAAAGGTACTAAATTGTACCAAAATGGTCGATCAGATTTAGATAGAGTTCCCATATATATTTTCGTCCCAATATTTGTCCGATTGAGACAAAATTTGGCACAGAATTAGTTCCTGATGTATGTATGCGAAGTTTTGTTGAAATCGGTTCAGAATTTATTAATGTAAATGGTGCACCAAATTGCCAAGAATTTTCCGATTGAGACAACATTTTATACAGCGCATTGAAATTGCAGCAGTTTGAAGCACGTGGAGTTTTGTTAAAATTGGTTCAGATTTAGATATTGCTTCCATATATATTTTCACCCGATTTAAAGTAAATGGTGCACCAAACTCGCAATATTTGTCCGATGGAGACAAGATTTCGCGCATCCTTCTGAATTGGATACTTCTTATTGATTTATGCGAAGTTTAGATGAAATCAGTTCAGAATTAGATATAACTTAGTGTGATTTTATGTAAATGGTTGACCAAACTGCCAAAGTTTTTTTCCGATTGAAACAGAATTTTACACAGCGTACTGAATTAGATTTTTATAGGTTTGTCGAAACCTGAGAAAGTCCTTTTAAGAGAGATAAAGCTCAAAGCAAATCTATAAAAGAGGATTGAAGTC